CTGGCAATTATTATTATTGAGTCTTTTGCTCTTCATCCTTCTGCAAAATATTTTTTGTGTGGCCCATTTTAAAAGCCAGTTGGCTTCATTCCCTCCCACCCTTTTAATGAATCCCAGGTTACAGGTCCAAGCCCAGAAAGGAGGTAGCAAAGCCAGGGCCAGCCTATCTTCCAGTTCCTAGGCAGCTCCTCTCCGTCAGCCCAGAAGAATAAAGTTTACCCGAAAAAAACAGGTACCAAAAAAAAAATCTCTAATTGCCAAAACCACTTTCCAAGACATTAAGCCTACGTGAATTACTGTGAAATTATTCTTTCATTTTTAGAGATCTTACCAATAGAAAGTCAAAGTTAATAACATCTCAGAGGTTTCCCTAAATGCACTATTTCGGAGACCTAGTTATAGAGAAACTCAGAGTTTCTCCTAGGAGCTACCTCTGACTCGATCAAATCTGAGTTTACCAAATTTGACTGGAAATATCAGTGACAAAAGGAACATCACCTTCTGGAAGACATGGAACGTCAGAAGACATGGAGGAAGAAAAAAGTGATTGTCATAAGAACCTTGAAGCTGTTTAAACAACACCCTCTTTCCTTCCAGAAGCTTGGGCTATTCCAGGGAATTTCACTGCCAAGGACGTTTAGGAGTTGGGAGTTGAATGTACGTGGCAGATCTTGCAGAGAGAACCAGCTGCTCCCGAGAAGAGATTTCATCCCACTCAGCCTGGCTGCCCTCCGGAAGCCCCACACGTATGCCCAAAAATAAAACCCTCCAAAGGCCAACCAGTGAGAAAATCCACTGGGTTTCTTGTTCAACTAGAACGAGGGAACAAAATTGTTCCCAGTTAAAACACAAACACCTGAGTAGTAGTAAGACGTGATCAAGTCAATTGTCAATACCTCCGTTCACCAGATCTTTTCCTAGAGGCACTTAACAAAGGGTGCTTAACAGGGAAAATGGGGGAAAGGGATGATTCCAAGTACAAGATCAAAAGAGGATGATGTGATACCTGGAGAAGAAGGTGCCTTGAGGTGGGAGAAGGGGATCAAGGAACCCTGGAACTCCACCGTGGTTCTCAATGGGACAATGGTGCTGATCAGGGTCAGCCCTTGGGAACCCTAAGTTAGAAAGGAAACTGGGCCAGGTGCTGTGGCTTGTGCCTGTAATCCCAGCACTTTGGGAGGACAAGGTGGGAGGACTGCTTAAGGCCAGGGGTTTGAGACTAGCCTGGGCAACATAGTGAGATCCCCTCCATCTCTTACAAAAAAAGAAAATTAGCCAGGCCATGTGTGGTACATGCCTGTAGTCCCAACTACTTGTGAGCCGAGGCAAGGATAGTTTGAGTTCAGGGGTGGAAAGCTGCAGTGAGCTATGATTGCACCACTGCACTCCAGCCTGAGCAATAGAGTGAGACTCTGTCTCAAGAAAGAAGAGAGAAAGAGAGAGGAAGGGAGGGAGGGAGACAAGCAGGGAGGAAGGAAGGAAGATAATCTCCCTCAAGACCATTTCCATAGGAAAGTGGTACCCAACCCATCAGTGGCAGTACCTATAAGGAATTCCAGATTTTAGAGTAGAAAACAAAGAAACACACATTGCTGATGGGCCAGAGATTGTGCTTCTATAATCTGTAACACACGACACCAGGGCTGCCTCAGTTTCATTTTGCAAAACATGGCTTAAAAAATTGCATCAGATCTGCAAGGCTATCTAGGTAGGATTATTACTGCCAAGTAATTCTCCTTTAACAAAAGAATATGGCATTAAGGGAAAATCTGTTTTTAACTGCAGTGTCATACAGCTTATGTTTTCCTGACTTTAAGTACCCACGCACTTTTCCCCTGGCAAGCTTTAGAAAGATTTACAGAAAATGCACAGGTGCCACCTCACAACTAAATAAGGTAAATCCACCCTTTTCTCTACCAGAAAATAATGCCTACTCCTGTGCCTTCCACAGATACATGAAATGGACAATTCTCCACTCACCACGGTAATAGAGCAATGAAAGACACCAATAATAATAAACTCCATTTATGAAGAGAGTTTCGACTTCCTCCCCCAGAACAAACCACACACTTAAATGGGGCAGTTAACAATCATTAAGGTAAAAAAACAGTTGGATTTGCTGCTCATGACCCTCTATCCTTAGCCGAAAGAGGCTGCTAGTGAGGGAAAAAAAAACAGTCCAACTTGACAGCTGGATGGGGGAAACCGAGGCAGATAAATCCAAGTCCAGAATGACACTGGGTCATAGAGCCACCTAGGGTGCGGTGAAAGTTCTGGTCCCTTGCCTTCCAAGAACGCACACGTGCACAAATTTTGCATAAAATTTCAAGAAGGTCCTGAGCCCTTTGGCACCATGGATGGGCCCCAGATGTAAAGAACCCCTGGCCGGATGTCCAGAATTGACTCAACAACATAATTGCCCACAGAGATGTCCATATTAAAATGCTCCCTGCCGCGTTCTTTATAATAGCAAAACACCAGGATTAATCTACAGGGCACAAGAGGGGACCAATTAGGGAATGTCATGGCCAAAAAACAAGGACAGGATCTACGAGTACCCAGGAAACAAATACCAAGGTGTCTTAAGTGCAGAAACGCAAGGTTCAGAACAATGGGTCAGGTGTGACTGTGTAATAAGCATAGTATTTCTGCAGGGATTTCTAAAGGGATACACAAGGAACTAGAGACAACGTTCGTGTCTGAGATGGAGGACCAGACCAGAAGGGACTTGAAGCTGGAAGAAAAGTCACTTTTTATTTTTAACCCATATCCTGATATTTTTTTAATGAAAAGAAAGCTAGTTGGGGATGGATGGATGAGCAGAGGCAAAGACAGGAAGAAAAACAGGCAGTTTTAGAAGAATTTCTGGCCAAGCTAAGTCTCCAAATATGCCCAGCGTTGAGAATAGTTGGTATCGTAAAACATTTGGCACCAGGACGGACATAAATAGGAAAGTATCTCATAAACGTCCTTCCCAGCCCGGGCTGCTGCCACCGCTGAGAACAGCTGAACGTCTCCCCCGTAGTGCGGCTCTCCTGGGCTCTCCTCGTGCTGAACCAATTATGGGACACGACAGCAGCAGCGCCAATATTTTTTAAAGGCTGATGTTAGTCACTAAATACCCATTAAACCGATCTCCTTGCTCCATTTACAGCAGGCTTGAGGGCAAATCCAGATGGTACAGATAGTGCATATTCAGGCTCCATCTGCACGCCCGGCCACCAAATAGCCATTATCAGATTATCCCTTTCACAGCCCTCAGCTGCCTGACACCCACAGGTGTGCGCAGGTGAGAGGAACAGCCACCTTGCAGGAGACGGCTGGGAGGCCACCTTTGTGCTGCCCGCCCAGGGCTGCATTTGCCTTTGGATCTGAACAGCCAGCGGTGGTGACAAGGGTTGCTTGGCAACCCGGTAACAGGCCATGCCTGGTGTTTTTAGCAGGGGGACGGGAGATGCATTTAGCCAGGAAGATCAGGCTGTCCCCACTCCCCCAGCCCTGTCCCTGCTGTGGCTCCATCGGGAAAAGGTCCACTGGAGAACTTGCCACTTTTGGATTAACAGGCACCAACGCTCTCTCCACCCTACAGCCTCGAAGATAAAAAAAAAAAAAAATGGATAAAGTCTGGCCAATTTTTTTTAAATCTAGTGAAGGCTCAGAATCAGCTTCAGAAAGTCCTCTGCACCATCACGCTCGTGACAATCGGCAGAAAGGCCCGAATTTCTGTGTCCCCACGAAAAATGACAAGTTTCACTTAAATACAGCACCGCACCCTTGCCACTAGCACAGTCCCTGACTATACTCCAATAAAAGGGGAACAGACGTCAACACCCAAGTCGCTGGGATCTCGGTACAAATGACGTGTGTGATGGGACGCACAGGGCAGGTTCGTCTTCCTAACCCTCTAGGACTTAAGCTCCTGTTAAAGGACAATTTTATTTCCCGGTTCTGTCCCACGTGACGCTGTGGGAGGCAGCAAGGACTAACCCACGTGGAGAGACATTCGGGTTCCCCACGAATAATTCACAGGACATAATCTGAGCGCAGACACCAAAGGGCCGGAGCTGTAACGTTTTTTTACATTTGCTCTCCCCGGGGGCTAGAAAGCATCTTGGCCTAGAGATGGCAGAAAGATTAAATTAAAATGTCAGCATGGAAATCTGAAAGGACCTCCCCCCCTTAGGCCCCTCCTGGGAAGGCAGCGACCAGTCACCAAGCTCTTTTTCTTCCATTCGCTCAAGAGAGTGCGAAGAGGCCCCGGTTCTCAGCAGCACTGGTTCCTCGATCCACAGTACCCAGGGGCTTGCAGGATTAAACGAGGGAACTTCTCACATAAATTCGAAGGAAAACAAAGGCATGCAACTCTCCCCGTGCTAGCTGGCCCTTAAGTTAGCCAAGTGCCCTCAGTGAGCAATGTCAGGGCAAGGAGAGTCCGACCCCGAGGCTGGAAAACAAGGCCCTTCCCACGGAGGAATTGCTACCCGATCCCTCTCAAGGGACGCATTCCCTCTAACTCAAGAGAAAAGGCATAACTTTGCTCTCAGAGTCTGGGTTTTCCGGCTCTAAAATCAGTGCATCAGCGAGAGAAACATCTGCCCTTCTCCCAGGTGAATCAAAAAGGTGAAAGTCACATAAATGGAAAGGAGCATTCGGGGTTCACTAGGAAAGGGGACACTGAGGGACGAATGCTGACGCTCTCGAACTCCAACCAGCCCCAGCCCTACCAGAGTGACCTTTATATGTTCAAGCTGAAACGTGATCAAAAAGGTACCAGTACCTCTTATAGACTAAGCAGGCGGTTTGGAGAACAGAGAGAAAAGAAGGTGCCGGGTCAGATGCCAGTTGAGTTCTATGCAATGGGGGGACGGGGGGGCGGAATGTGTGTGAGCAATCTGGAGGGGCGGGACAGAGGGCCTGACATGTCCCTCATTACTCATCCTAGCACTGGTACCAAGTCCAAGCCGCCTAGCCCCGCTCCGTGTCTGCAGCAAAGAGCTTGCCTGAAAGAAGCCCAGCTCTACCTATCCGGATGGAAAGTTCACTCTCGGGCAAGAGCAGCGTGGGACCCTCGGGATCAGACTTCTTCTTCATCAACGCAGAGTCAAAGTTCAGTGCCAGGGCCGTCTGGGGGTCTTCTGCCGCACCCTGAAACAAGAAGCAGCAGCATCACTACTGTGTTCGCTCCCCAGACCCGGCCGGCTCACAGGGGCCGAAGCAACTCACCCATCTCTACCAAGGGCACCAGGCCTGAGCCGGTCCCTGGGCTGACCCAGCTGGGTCATTGGGAAGATGATAAGCTTTCTGGGTGTAGGACCTTAGGGGTTACAAAAGACAAGATCTGAGGAGTCAGTGTGCTGATCCTGGAATTGGGAAAAATACATACAAAAAAAAAAAAAAAAAAAGATCAAGGCCCACACAGCAAAACCCCACTACATTCATCACCACCAGGCAAACCGCACAACATGCTTAGTTCCTGATCTGTCAAAAGCAGCCCATATGGCAGGTTCGCTTGGAGAGCAGCCTCAGTACGGGAATCACGGTCAGCATGTTTAGGAATTCACCACCTCCGGATTTCCCATGAGATCAAAACAGGAGAAGGTCCAAACAAAAGCATCTCGAAGGAAGGAAACAGTGAGAGTTGTGGAGAATGCGTGCATATTTGGAGTTAAGTCCAGATGGCCTTAAACCAGACATGCCACCCTTCTGCTTTGTCTTTCTTTAGTCAATTGGACTATTTTTGCATTAACCAGGCAAAGTTGTGTGCACTCGATCCACGTGTGTATTTAAAAAAAAATTTATCGACTGCCACTTTGTGGGTATTTAGTGAATAAGACAAAGTCCCAGCTCTATCAGAGCGTGTGTTCCACTAAGGAACAAATAAATGAATCCATAATGGGGTGGTAAGCTGCTCTTCCAAAGGCATCATCCAGAAGCCCCAAGCCTGTGACCACTTAAAAATGCACAGAACCTTGCCAGGAAAGAGGCAGACAAGTGTCTCTGCCAACTATACAAGCACCTTCACTTTCAGGCCAAAACTTCAAAGCGAGGGGAAGCCAGGCAAAAATCAACCTTAATGGGCAAGAACAGCAATCTGTTCAGCCTGATCTACCAGAACACCGTAAACTAGGTGGCTTCTAAACCACAGAAACTCATCACAGTTCTGGAGTCTGGGCAGTCCAAGATCAAGGCTGGCAGAGTCTGTGTCCGGTGAGGACCTAATTCATAGACAGTACCTTCCAGTTGTGTCTGTGCATGGTAGAAGGGGCAAGGAGTCTCAAAGGGGTCTCACTCAAGGCGTCCTTTTTTCTGTTTTTTAAGAGATAGGATCTTGCTCTGTCACCCAGGCTGAAGAGCAGTGGTGCAATCATAGCTCACTGCAACCCCAAACTCCTAGGCTCAAGTGATCCTCCTGCCTCAGCCTCCCAAGTAGCTGGGACTACAGGCACCTGCCACCACGCCTGGCTAATTTCTCTATTTTTTGTAGGGATGGGGTCTCACTCTTGGTCAGGCTGGTCTTGAACTCCTGCCTGAAGTGACCTTCCATCCTCAGCCTCTGGAGTTGCTGGGAATACAGGCATGAGCCTCCATACCAAGCAGGCATCTTTTACTGGAGTATTAATCTCACCATGAAGACATTACCCTCCCAACCTAATCAGCTCCCAAATGTCCTACTTCCTAATACCATCACCTTGGAGGTTAGGATTTCAACACATGCATTTTGGTGATGGGGACACAAAAATTCAGAACATAGGATCAGGCAAATATAGTCCCAAACAAATAGAAATTTCCATTAAAATATGTAACTCTAATATGGGAGAGAAGAAGGCTTATAATCCTATCACAGAAATGCATCCATTTATAATAAAATTCTGAAACTATTTTCTTGAGTAACTCTTTTGTGAAGGATCACACAAAAGGTATGCCAGGCTGTGTCTCTCACACACACATGCACATATGCACTCCTTGTTTTTTCATTGTCATGATGATCAGAGATAAGAGAACCTAATGATTCAGATATTTCATTATTTCTTTTCAACTGTTAAAAATGAATACATAAGCCCTTCCTTTCATGTGTTATTTATCTAATGCATCAATATTATCCTTCTCATTTGCAGTCCTCTTTAATGCTCTTTAATAAGGGTGGCAACACCTCATTTAACTTTGTTTTTTTTAAAAAAAAGCCTCCTAGCCCTGTTTGAGCTGCTCTTGAAGTTTTGGGGTCCCTCTGTAGAATCCCAAGCATCTACCTCTTCTGCCCCACAAAGAGAGGCAGCCGTCAACGCCATGTCACCGTCCAGGTAGGCGTTGCAGCCGGACGGGCCCCTGGGGACAGAGAGGCTCAGGAAGGCCAGTCTCTGCCTCTGCAGAAACCCGCCCTCACCACCCCCAGCTGACAGCTGCCATCTGTGTGATGTGCGGGGGGCCACACAGTCGCAGCTCTGTGTTTGTTTATGCGCTTTAATTATTTCTAATTCCACCTATCCTGCCGACACGAGGCATCGCTGCAGCGATAAAAGGTGTGTTTCACCATGAGAGCGCGTCAGCTGATTTCCCTTCCTTTGTCTTCCTTCTTTTCATAATGTGATTGATGCATAACTTGGGGAAGGAATGGAATGAGGACCGCTGCTTCATCACAGCACAAATGCCGCAGCACTAACACGCTGTAAGCCGCGACTGCTTCTTTGATGGGGGCCGTTTGCTAAGGCGTGGCGTGCAGGGAGAGACGCGTTTTCATCTGGAACGGCGGTTTCCACCCAGGCAGTTCTGGCCTCCCTCCCACTCCCAAGGACACATTTGGCAATGGGCATTTTGGAATGTCACAACTGGGGGCCGGGGCTGCTGCTGGCGTCTCTAGAGCAGAGAGACCGAGGAAGCTGCTAAACATCCTACGATGCACGGCCCCCACGACAAACGATGACAAATGCCAAATGTCAACCGTGCTGATGGGGAGAAGCCCTGCTTTGGAAAGATTTAGAGTGGGCAGGACCCCAACGCTCTCTGTATTACAGGCAACGCTGGCAACTCACAGACCCCCTTTTTTACTGTAAAGAGAAGAATTTTGCTACTTTCTCCAGGAAGACTGCCTGTCTGCCTTCATGGATTCAGGACATTTTTATTAAGCATCGACCACATACCAGAGCTGTTCCAGGTACCCACAATACAAAAGAGCCAGGTCCCCTGGCCTCGTGAATCTTGCATTCGCCTTCAAGACAGTCAATAATAAACCCATCACTAATAAACTAAAAAATAAGAGTGATAATGTTAAGAAGAAAAGTAAGTTGTATCCATAGCTCACGGCCACCCTAGCATAGCAGGAACACGCGCTGGGTTCCAGCTGTTCTAGCTTTGCGCCAGGGAACATCCCAGGTGTTTTAGGTGAGCTGGCCCATTCTTAAAGGTAAAGCGGGAGTGTTCCTAGAGATACGACGATGGGAGAGGCCTCTGAGAAGGTGGCATTTGAGCAAAGACCTGAAAATCGGAAGAACAAACATTGACTCCCCCCTCCCCTCCATATCCTTTTCCCACTTAAGCTACTAATATATTCTTTGGGTTGCATTGCTTTATTTCTGCATTTTGAGGGACAAAGGGATACAAAGAAAACCTCACCCTAACTTCACTTAGAAGCTGCCCTTTTAAAAGCTAGAGAGAGACCGGGCAAATCCACCAGCACCCCCATCCTGCCTGGGCCCGAGCACGCGCTCGACTTCATATTCAGCCTCCAGAAGGGCCAGGGTCAGCTGTGCAGCACGGGGGCTGCAGAAGGCGTCTCTGGAGTGACACCAAGGACAGCTCCTTCCAGATCTTGGTGCCCGGCAGCACTTCCCTGTGTCTCTGATCCCCAGCACCGGCCTCTCGGGGCATCTGTCAAATCCTTCTGGAATTCTCGACATCCCCTGCCCTCCACACTCAATTGTTGATGAGGAAAACAGAAACACTGCGCCTCGGAATTTCAAGGAACAGCCCCTAAGGGAGACGTTCACACTGCTTTGGTGGCTTTATCACAGTATCCCTGGTGGTGGGGTACAAAGTCAGGAACCACCTGCCAGGCTGGCAGCCCTCCCTCCATGGAGCCCGGCTGCCACTGGCACAGGGACCGCAGGTGGACGCACTATAGAGTTCTCTCCCGGGATGCCTTCAACAATGGTAGCCTTGGCCTGTGCAGGGGGACCAAGACCCCTGGGAGAAATTCCTCCTCTATGTTGCCCTCTTCCCTACTTGACATTATTCCTTACATTTCTGGGGCTTTTCTTTCTTTTAAATCTCTGCAGTATTTTTCTGTCCACACTGCCTCCCTCAATCCTTGCACCCCCACGAGGTGGGTACGGTGACAGCGTGATCCGTTCCAGGACAGATGTGACTAACACGAGCTGTTCCTGACTTTCCACCACAGCCCTGGCAGTCTGCTCTGCTGCCCCTTGGAGGGCCCGTGAGTCACTCCCTGCCCTTCCTCCCACACCGCCCCTGCAGGTGGGCCCCTGAGGCTCTGGACCATTCAGGTGACCTGTGTCACCTTGTAGCTCCCAAATGTCAAGGTGCCAAACACACGGGCTCCTCCCCGAGCTGTGAGAACACCCCCTTTCCTTCCCCGGGGCTCCCTCCCCCCTAAGCCCCTTTCCCCACCCACTCCTCCAAATCCAGCTCAGCAAAGAAAGTGGAGCGTGGGCCACCGGAGACAGGAGGTGCCACCCTCCAGGGCCACGGAACTTGAGATCACTGTCCTCTTGCCATGGAACTATCATCATCATTCTTCTTTTTCATGGTTTGGGGCCAGTCTCTGGCTCAGAACAAACAGGGCGACTGCCGCCCACTCTGGAAAGGCCGTGCAACGAGGCAGGAGCTGGAGAAGAATAGCACTTTCCAGAAGGGAGAGAGAAGTGGCGAGAAAGGAAGAGAAGGACGATGAGATGAGATGAAGGCGGGGATGGGGGCAGGGGGCGGGAGAGCAGCCCGGCAACGTGACCTGCGTCAGACCAAAAGGCTTCAGGAAACTATGTGTCTCTCCTTGGAGACACAGAATCCAGGCGTTGTTCAGCATGGTTTGCTGTCCCAGGCAGGAGGAAGACAACTGCTGGTGGCCGATGTCTCCAGAGCCCCAAAAGAAACAAGTCACAGGAGGAATAGGCTGGAGCTGCAGTTCCCAACCT